TTAATTTTTAAAAAATTATGAGAATTTTATTTTTTAAAATTTTAGAATATTTTAATTAATTTATAATATTTAATTTTATTTTTATTATTTTTATTTTTTAAAAAAAGGGCTTACGGGCCCGGCCCTAAGCCCTTCACATAAGGGCCGGGCTTGAAAAATGGGGTTCAAAATAGAAAACTGGGCTTTAGGACTCAGGCCCTTAAGGGCCGGGCCCATCCATATTCCCAGCTCTATATAAAACTTCATTTAAAATAATCAAGAAAAGAGAGTCAGCAAGGATCAAGACTTTTAATTTGAAGCTAATGACACAGTTAAAGGTTCAAGACTTTGATTTTCATATGGATGGTCTGCGGGTGAAGATGACAACCGCTTTGATTTTCACATGGATCTTGTCTGTGACTGTGATGACCTGCATTTTACAACTGAGGAATAGCGGCTTCAAGGTATTAACGTATCAGATTGATGACAAGATCATGAATGATGCAGATAGGTGGAATGAGCTAGCTTAGGGTTTCAAGACAAGAAAGAAGAAATTCATCATACTCTCATGTTGATACATAAGGGTTATGGATACAAGCTTATACAGAATGGAACATGACAACATGCTATAGTCTGGTTTCCTCACACTGCAAAGATTGGGTTTGATAGAGGTTATAATTGAATCTAACTCTATTGCAAGTGTGAATATGCTGCAATTGTTCTTGTGTAAAGAATAGAATCCTTTGTCAAATATAGAATATGATTGATGATAACTAAAATATATGAGTGGTACATGCTTATAGAGAAGGAAATTTTGGTGTCGATTAATTAGCTAATTGAAGTTTATCACAGGAATATAGGCCATAGATTTTGAGTGAGTCTCTTGAAGGTTTATTTAATTTATTATATAGGAATAGATTGGGTTTAATTTATCCACAATTGATTTTAGTGTAATTTTGTTTGGCCTTTGACCTATTATGTACCCAAAAAAAAAAACAAAACAGTAAACAAAAATTAGGGAAATTTTCATTAGAGTGCCTTAGATTTGACATAATTTCAACCAAGTTTCAAAAAATTCTAAAATTTCACACCTAGATCACTGAAATGAAATAAATTATATTGCTTAAATGATCAAAATGCTCTTCAATTATAATTAACATTATTGATATAAAAAGTCAACTAATGATTTTGACAAGCAATATTAGCAAAATAACAAGTTAAGTTATAGGTTTTACAAGTCACATTAATAGAATAAATATTAGCAAAAAATTGTAACTTGACATGTTATTCTAATAATTTTACTTGTAAAAACCATAACTTAATTTGTTATTTTAACAATATTACTTGTAAAAATTATAACTTGCCTTATTATTTTATTAATATTACTTGTAAGACCCATAACTTGACTTGCTATTTTGGTTATATTACTCATAAAAATTATAACTTGAATTTTTTTTTATAATGATGTTACATGTAAAAATTATAATTTGACTTATTATTTTAGTAATGTTACTTATAAAAATCATAACTTGACTTATTATTTCAGCAATATTAACAAAAATAAGGTTTCATTATTAATTATGCTTGTCCCAATATTACCTTTCCCTCCTTATATTTTCTTTATCTCTATTTAATGTTTTGCCAAATAATGTTAAATTAAATGAAGAATATTTTTAAAAATTTATATTTGTGTTTTAAAAAATTAAGATTGTAGAGTGTATTTAATAAACATTATTGCCATGTGCAATTCAATCAAAAAATATCTTATAAATTGGGATGAGAGAGTACATTATATTATATTAATTTGAAAGTCTATTTGTATTTTAAAGATTTAAAAACTAACATAATAATTTAAAAAAACATAAGAGAAAAAATTAATAAAAATTAAACTTAAGAGACTAAATTGATAATTAAGATAAATTTGATAGATTGAAAGAGCTTCATTATTACTTTTTTAAGTTTTTCCTTTAATTATTGCAAGCATGATTGTCAAACTTTCGAGTTGACTCTCTAAGTTTATTTTTACATTTTTATTTTATAAAATCATGTTAACTTGTTCATAAATTTGGACTAGGTGAAAATTGGTTAAACTCGTGAGTTAATTCTCTAAGTTTATCATTTTTATATTTTTAGTTTACAAAATCATGTTAACTTACTCACAAACTTAAACTAGATGCAATTGGTTAAATTTGTTAAACTTGTCAATTTTTAATTGAGTTGAGAAACTTAGATATATATATTATATAGAACTCGCTTTATAGAAGTAATAAGACACAATTAAAAGAAAAATAAAACTCAAAAAGAAAAAATTAATATTAATAAAAAAGAAAACAAAATAAATAATTTTCTTTATTTTAAAATTTTTATGTTTAGTATGATAATTTATCAATATAAGTAGATTTAATTTCAATAATTTATATTTAAAATATATTTAAATTAAATTATGATCATATTTTATATTTTAATTATTTAATTATATACTTTAATAATTATTTATTAATAAAAGTAAACTTTTATAAGTTTACAATTCAAATTTATATCTCTATATTATAAGTTTATTTAAACTCATGAGTTTGACAACTTTAATTGTGAGAACCCCACTTTGAGTTTATCATAATTTTAATGGGTAATCGCCTAACAGCTTGTTAATTAAATCCTAAGAAATAACCAATAAAAAAGGATGACAAAAAAAAAAAGACTTTTGTTTGCTTTTTTTTTTTTCAAAAAAACAATTGGATAACCATTGATAAAGTCACTCATTGAAAGACACGTTTTTTTATTAAAATGTTAATTAAACCATTGAATAACTTGATTGTTATTAGTAGAAGTTGAGAGTTTGATGATAGAGATCTATGGCAACAGGAATGCTCAACACATTTCAATAGCAAATGTTATATCATCTTGCTTGACACATTCCTGTACTTGAAAACTCTTTAATTATTGCTAGGATCCTTGTTGTTAAAAAAAAATTAAATAAATGAAATCAATTAATTAATGACCTTCTTTTGCTGAATCTATGAAATGAATTCAATAATGCCGTGTTCAGTAATATAATGAAGCTTAATAATTATATTAGGTAACTAGTGCGTGTTTGATTTCACGTGAAACAAAATACACCACTAGTCAATTTTTACGATATCTAAATGACCATTATTAGATTATACCGAGCTTAGAAGTATATCTCCATCATCAGAAGTTAATAATTCAGCAAAGTATATACTATGCTGCTTAATTTCAGTAGACATTTGGATGAAATCATCAACAAGAGGCAGATTTTGAATCCACAACAATCATGCATTCCTATAAAAAAAGAAAAAATAAAAAATAAAAAATAACTAGCTAGCGGAATACATTTTTAAGATTATTTTAAAATATTTAAAGCTTAAAAATTATGGAAATATAATAATATGAATCTTTTAAAAAATTTAAATATATATAATAATATAAACAAATATACATATAGTTTCTTACAACAAAATGAATTCAATCTTAAAATATTAATTAATATTTAATATGTATTACATATCAAAAGAAAAAATAATTATTAATCCCTTTTAATTTTAACTCAATTATAATTTAATTTATGAACTTTAACTTCTTATAATTTAATTTTTATAATTTTAATTTAGTGCAACTTAATCCTTGAATTTAAACTCAACACGACTCAATCCTTATAAATTTAACTATTTAAAATATTGATCTCTATATTTTTAAAAATAAATTTAAAAAGATAAAAACAATATTTTGAAATCTAGGGCTTGATATTTTAAATTATTAAAATTATAAAAATTGAGTTGCTCTAAATTAAAGTTCAAAAACTGAATTATTACTGAGTCAAAATTATAACAAATTAAAATCCAATAATTGATTTACAATAATTAAGGCAAAACAAAAAGAATCAAATTAAATGATTGATTTTTCCTTAAAAAAATAAAAGTTTCAGGTATTTAAGTCAAGCCCCAACATGATAATCAGCTTGAATTTTTCAGGTCTATTTAACCCAGCCGAAAAAGGATGAATTGTAAAGAACAAAAAAGAAAATGATTTCTATAAACTTGATCCTAAATTACCGATTCTGGTGTTTATTGAATGAACTAGATCCGAGTATGAAGGGATTGAGATTGAGACTGGGGAAACACTTGTTTTGTCCAAAGCAGCGCAAAGACGGAAAAAGTAAACGGCCGTTGTCACGGGCAAGTTCTTATTCTGTCACACAAAGCCTCGACACCATTATTCTTCTTCTTGTCCACGTTACACTTTTTTCATTTTAATTTCCTATTAAAATATTCCTTTTCTATATTATAATATTTATATTTATATTTATATTTGACTCTCAAGGACTACAACAAATTGGAATCCTAGTTGTTGGGTTATCTGATGAGCTGTATTGAGAAGGTCATAAATCAAAGCGATCATGATATGTTAGTTGAGAATTTATTTGTATCAGATAAGTATTGGATTTTCGTTTCCTTTATTCTATCACTCTATTTTCTCCTACCTAATGCAAATCAATGTCACCAAATCTAGCAATCATTTTTTTTTAATTATTATTATTATTATTTTTACCATCTTTAATTAGTTACTTTATGCCATTTTGAATTACACCGTTAAGTTGAACTGAGATAATTTAGTGATATATATATATATATATATATATAAAGTTTCAACGCGTGATGAAATCAACAAGGAGTTTGAAGGGAAAAAAAGGTTATTTCATTTCAAATTTCATTTAATTTAAATTTACACCAAACGAGCTTTGTTGACTAATAAAGACATGTTCGTTTGGTAATTCCACACATTGCAAAAATTCATGGGATCAATTAATTTAAATTTACCAATGTTACCTTTTATATATATATATAGAATCTGCTACTTTTAGCCATAAATCTCCATCATATAACAGTGGATTAATTGCCAAAAAAGAAAATAAAAATTAAATAATTTAAATCTATGTTAATTTACTTTCATTTTCAATTTTGTAGACGAACATGCAAGGGTTCGACGAACCCGAAACAAAACAGGAAGCAAAAGCTACATGAAATTTCTAAACTTTAAATACAACTGAATCATTCCAAAGCTTCATTTAAACATCTACAAAGTACAAACTATAAATTCACCCAGAATTTTTTTTTTTTTAAAAAAGTCATCATTTCTTTCGAAAGACGACCTCTGTGTCTAAACCGAAAGCGTCGACCTTACGTACGTGAACCAGCTCCGACCCTCTGAACAATTCCTTCAATGGAGTCACGCTGTAAAGATCGTTGGCCGAGTACTTATCCGGCCGCCGGCTGAGCGTCACGTGCAGCACACACACCCCACCTCTCTTCAACGTCCTCTCTATCTCCCCCACAAATCTCTCCGGATACAGCGCGTGATCGAACACGTTCGAGAACTCGAAGTCGAACGTCTCATTCTCGAATGGCTGCTCATGAAAATCTCCCTTCAACACCAATGGCGGATACGGCACCAAGTCTATCCCCACCGACTCCGACACCCCTATCCGTCGCAAAGCTTCCACCTCCTGCCCGACCCGAGCTCCGATACACAGAGACTTGGACGAGTTTCTTAGGAGGTTCTCGGCCTGAAGTTTCTGGAAATACTGAGAGAAAACGGATATTTTTCGGTCCCAATCTCGCGTGGTCCAGATTTGCCGGAGCTTTGGGTTGAGCGTCTTGTCGAGCTGGCGACGGATGTAGGCGTCATAGGAGGAATAACCGGGTCGGATCCTGAGATCTTGAGTGGATCGGAGATAATCCTGACGGCGTTGCGGTTGTGTGGGACGGCGGTGGTATCGGAAGTAAGTGAGGAGGAAGAGAGAGAGGAAGATGAAGAGAGAAAGAAGAAAGAATCTGGTAATGGCCGTCGTTTTCATACCGTTCTCTCTCTTCGCTCGCGATCGCTTCTCTATCGTGGGTTCATGGGAACGAAGAGGAGGAGGAGGAGGAGGAGGAGAAAGAAGAAAAAATGATAGATGTACATAACCATATATATATATATATATATTATATATATGGGGAAAATGGGCAAATCCAGAAGTTGTGAAGGCATCTATCACAATTGAATACTCTAAATTATTGAAATGTCTTTATTTACAGTTAAAAATTAGCATGTTGTGAATTTAAGAAAAATTAATTATGAATTGAAATAATATTACATATGAATTACCGAAAAACTTAAATATAAATGAATAGATGGTTTTGTGAATTTATATGTATTATCACTTATAAATTTAAGGATGATTACTTATAAATTTTAAAAGGGCAAATACATACTACTAAGCATGAAAATTATTCGATTGTGAGTGAATAGAGTACAACGACAGATGGAGGGTGTACTTAAGCAGGGCACACGCCCCATATTACAATTTTTTTGATAAATTTTATTTATTTTTGCTTGGAAAGAAAAAAAGAAAAAAAAAAGAAAAAAGCACTTTTGGTTCCCCCACTTGTGACTTATGAACATTTAGTTGTGAATTTAATGAATATCACCGGAAAATATATGAAACTTCATTTGTGAATTGATATATGAATAATCTTAATTATAAATCAATAATTTAGAAAACTTCTCATGTTTTTAAATATTCATTCACAACTTATTTTTCATAAATTCACAAGTAATTAATTTTTTTAGAATTCACAAATAACTGTCCTTAAATTCACAAAATGTACATACATATTCATGAAACTATATCTCAATTGACGTTTCTTAGATTTACAAGTGATTCAATTTAAATTCACAGAAAACTTTTTTAAAATTCATGAGTATGACCTTCTACTGGACGGTTTTATAACTAGAAGTATCTTAATTATTGTAAATAAGACTCTGGTTTTTCTATGGCATTTCAATAATTCAAGCTTCTCAATTGTCATTAATATCTTTACGAAGTTGATAAATTTCATTTTATCGCTTAGACATATATAATCGTACATAAATTATTTCAAGGTAGAAGCAGATGAGGATGATGACAAAAGCAGAGTGAAAACGTGGGAGGGAGAGAAAATGGCCATTAGTATCATTTGGATAAAAAGTGTTGGCGCTATCATTTTATTAGTTGATCATTTTATTAGTTGATAATTTATTTTGTATCATTTAATAATTATTCAATATTCTTTAAAAAATAATTTATTATTAAATTTACACATTTACCCTTCAGCTATTTATAATAAAATTTTGGGTTAAAATGTATTTTTGCCTTTAAATTTTTTTTCGAGAATCACTAATTGCCCTAAATTATTTATCATAAAAATTGCATTTCTAAAGTAATTAAAATGTAGCACATTTGATATTAAATATTCTAATGTTGATCGTTAAAAATGTTGTCTAGAACTTAAATTTGACTGAAAATGTCACATGTCATGCCAAATGAATTCAAGTTAAGATAAATTTGTGCTCTCAAACTATTCTATAAAAAGCACCTAGATTCTTAAACTATTTGCATCCTAGCAATTTTTTCATAAAAGTAATTAAAATGTAGCAAAAAAAACGCTTAACTTGAATAGGTTTAATAAAATGATCAATTTATAACCAGTTTGATTCAATTTAATTATGATTTTGATTATTGATCTTTGCATCAATATCCTGACCTATTCAGTGTGACATCCGTTTTCGATACATTAATATGGTGAAATTAAAATCATCGTGAATAGTTGGCCAAAAAAAAGATCATCGTGAATTAGAAAGTGCACCATCGTTGCGTGGGTATGAAGGGATAATAATAATATTATATTGTGCATACACATTCCACTTTGATTTAATTTTATTGCTCCAACGGCTATTTTAATGGTGATCATTAAACAGTGAATTACAACTCTTAATCACACTAGCTAGCGTGTTTATTTAACAAGATATGTTTTACATGTATATATGACACGTGCTTGGAAGACTAATAATTTAAAAATAGTAAATATATATCTTCTATTTTTATACTCCTGGCTGCTTATTTTATTTATAAGATTTGTTTTCCTAAAAAATTTTCATGGTTTGTAATATAAGACCATTTATAAAGCATATATGATATTATTAATTGTTCAAAAAAAATATCATTCATACCTTAAAACTCTTCTTATTTGGCAGAAGAAAATTTGTCTTTGAAATATCAACCAATTTTAATATTTTTTTCATAATATGTGTGATTCAGTGAAAAAGTATTATTTAGTGGCAATTATGTTGTTGTCTTCTTGAGATGCAGGTGAAAGACAAAAGAAAAGTTTAAAAAAAAATTGTATTGCTATATATTTATAATTTATTATGGATAATATGACTTTTTATGCTTATAAAACTTTATATAAAATATATTGAATGTTAATGTTTTTTTATAACTATTGAATATTAATATTAATACTATTGTTCTTCTATTAAAAACGTAGTCCTTAGATAAGTAACTCCGACCTCTTGACTTTTGAAAATAAATTGAAGTGTGATATATATATATATATATATATAAAATTTAGAAAGCAGATAGACACAAAGAATATTATATATATCTCAACAACTTCGTTTGTTTGTGTATGAAATAAATATAAAAACAGAAATGACAAATTAAGGGGGTTAATTAAAAAGGAATTGGTCCAATTAGGCATCAAAAGAAGGGTTACGTTGGATAAAGCCATGAAAGCCATGATTGAAGGGTCAGGTTGGGCGTGTACAATTGTCCAACAAAGTAACAATAGAGATTATTATATTTCCTCACTCCTATTTATAAATTATAAGACATTCAAAGATAAAAAATTGTGGTTTTTTTTATAAAGCAAACCACATTGTTATTTATTACAATTTTTTCTTCTTATGTTTAATGTTGATAGGGAAAGTAAGAATTTTTTAAGAATATATTTAATATGGAAAAATAGATAATGTTTTTATTTTTAAACAAAGTTAACAAATTATGAACTCTTTTCTTAATTTTAATAAACAATATTAGGAGTGACTTAAAAAACTGAGAGGGTAACTATTATTAATTTACCACGGTGATGAAAGATGAATTGAAGACACTTTAGCATTTAAAATGTCTAGACGTTCCCTCCCACTTTTGGTCTTTTGAGGGTGGAAAAAACAAAGAGAGAATATTCGACTGGCGCATCAATTTAATATTCGACTTCTAAAAAGAGACTATCTGTTTTTTGACCAACAAAAAGAGAATATTTGTTAGAGTCCACATAGAGTACTAAGAAGGGCCGCATCGGGTCGGAACCTGAGGTCCGCTTCAGACCTTTGGGGGTTTATTGCAAGGAACCATGGGAACAAAAATGAGAGTAACACCACTTGTCACTCTAGACACATAGACAAATTGGACAAACCATCCCAATTTTTGGGAGATATGTCAAGGACTTGTACCTTTTGGTTGAGTACTAGTTGAGAAATCCCTCCATTAATTGAATTCTTCTTTATAACAATGGCTACTGTTCATGATCCAAATTTCACCTTGGGGGAACATTATATGGGAGGAAGTGTAATTTTCACTTAAATGGGGCAGGAATTGCTTCTAGCCCAAAGACGACAAAAGATTTATGTCAATAAGAGGAGATAGCTGTTAAAGCTTGAAGTTAGTGATCATGCTTTTGTAAATATTTCTTTGGTGACAAGTATCGGTGGACTCATCAAAGCTAAAGAATTGACACAAATTTTAAAACAATGAAATTATGAAAATTTCTTATATAAGTAAATTATAGTTTTATACAAGTATGTGACGTGTATGAGAAGTGTGAGCATAATCATAATAAAGGGTGGGAGTTCACCTATAAAAAGAAGTAGTACAAGTTCATATAACATGTATCTTCTTAGTATCTAGTGAGATATGGTGTTAAAAATTATCTCCTTAGTATCCATGTAGAGTACGCTGTTGGAGATTGACGCTTCTTAGCATCAGTGTGATGCAATGTTGGAGTAATGGCACCTCGATTCATATGTATAAGGGAAACCATAGTTTAAAAGTGGGATAGAACATTTTTGATTGAATGATCTTACCATTGAAATTGAGCTCGAGCCTTTGCACACATGTACTTAGTCCAATAGAGCCTTTGATTTCAATTAGGGTGATATGGAGGCTCAAATGGTAGAATGATCATGCTAGAATGAAAATGACTTGTGTTTGTGGAAATGAAATGTTGAATATGCTAAATGAGTGTATTTACTTATATGAGTTTTACTTGCTTATAGTTATGCATGTTAATTAATATTAGTGAATTATTCTATTACCTAAAATGATGTATATGTGATTAAATGATTGTGAGTGGTTGAGATACTAGTACAAGTGATAATTTTGTAATGTTTTGTATGTGTGGATGGCCAAAGCATGTTATTTGAGATAATATTATTACCCCTTGAACACATTGTGGAATAGGGGATTTGGTGGTTATTTTGTGTTTGGACTGTTGTTGCTGCAATATATTTGGCCTATCAGGTTGCGTGCCGTCCATTTGAGTTGGCCCAAGTGGTTCTAAAGCTATTGGCACTAGATTGTGAGTTTTGGATATCTTTGTGTGCGTTGTGGTTTGAAAACGAACCAATTTAAGTTCAAGTGTTCAACTTTTAAATGGTTGAATATTCAAATGTGAGACTAGTGCCAACAGCTAAAAGGCTTCAAGAGTTATGTGTGGATACTTGAACTTCTTAAATTGAATGTCGAATGGCAAAATGGCACATCGCATAGTGAGAACCTTATGTTCTCTGTGCCATCTGCCGCAGCGGACGGCTCATGCACTACGACGGATGGAGCATGTTATGGGCATTTTGAAATGCCTCTTTTAGTACTTCTTTGATAGGTTACTTGACCTTCTTTCTTTCGCTACCTTATTTAAATTGTTTTAAATTATAGTTTGAGTTCAAGTGACTTTTTAAAAGGGGTTTTCTTAAAATTTCAATATTTTAAACTGTCTATTTCTAAACCCTTAGATTGTGATGACTTTATTTAAGAATTTTAATTAATCCTAATTATCATAATGATGTG